CCCGGAGCAACCCTCCCCAGCCACCCACTCCCCCCACCTCTACGCCACAGCTGTCATTACTCAGAGGCAGGGGAGGGGCTTAGAGAGTCCATCACTGTTTATTGGTTATGGGGAAAGGAAACTGTCTACACACACATGATGTCAACTATGGCACAAATATACATGCTTGTTAGGATTTTGAATTCATTATGAACATTTCTTTTGAAGTTTGAACAATTACAGTAACTCAATTTAGTAGCAAATGGTTAAAAGTGACTGCTAGACCGTCCTAAGACCTAAGATGATATCTCCAATCAGCTTGTTTTGTTTAAACCAACAGTCTAAAACACAAAAATGATCAATATCAAAGAAATCTAATAACTGCAAACAACTGAGATTAAATTTGGTATTGTAATTTTGGTATCCCTGATAATCAAATATTTGCTCTTATGACCATCGACTAGTCAATTCATTGTTTTAGCTTCAAGAAAAGCGTAACCATTTATTATGGTACGAAAAAAAAAAGCCAAATATCTACCAACTAATAAAATTTTAAATGACTCACCAGAGTAGTGGTAGTTCGACAGATGATGAGACTTGTGGAAAATTGGATTCCTCAGCATCAGCAGTGACAGAGCAGCCTGAAAAACATTTGAACAAGCACGGTACATTATCTGCACAGTAGTGATTGATATGAGACTTTAAAGAGCAGGTCACTCCTGCCAAGGAAGCTGACTCTTGCTCCATTAGGCGTGCCTGTTGTGCTTTATAAACCTGTTAAAAACACACAGAGGCAAACAATGGATCTGCTGCTTATGGGTAAGCGGGGAGTGAGAAAACCTCCGTTCTTATTTTTCCCGCAAGTATCAAGTACCTGAATGTATTAAATCACAATTATACACTCGCTGGCTTTGTCAAAACACCAATCAACTTTGTGCTCTTTGTGAAGAAACCACCTGACTGTGCAGGACTGCTGAAACACAGCAGTTTGAGGCGGGCTGCTGCAGAGAGTGGGTGCTCTGGCAGCCCCCCTCCCTGCCACCCACCACCTCATAGTTTCCTTGACAACGCTGGACCAGTGCCGGTCGCTGAGGCCTGATATCTCCACCAGTTTACTACCGCACAATGCTCTGAGAGTGTCGAGTCAACTCCAGCTCGTTCATCTTCAGTAATGGAAGTACAGATTTGGACTTGCAGTTTATGTCCCTCTCTAGACAGTGTAATACACAGTGTAAAGGTCCCCTATCATGGAGGCCGCCATGTATTATACTGTAGCCCAGAATGGACAAAACATACATCTGACATCATTAGTGGTCTGACAGCGATGCGATACTTAGAGACAGGATGTATCATCACTGTACTATAGGTGGAGACCCCAACTAACCAATCAGACTCCTATGGGCGAATGCAAGCTTACAACAAGGGTAGTACAGTGTAATGCTGTTCATTTTCACCTGGGAAACTTCCCCCTCATCAAGTTCAGTGTAGCCTCTGTATTGGAGAATGTCTCAGGACAAAACAAGGTGGGACTTGGCTACACCACTAGAGCTGCAAACGACTGACTAATTTACGATCTATAAATTGTCAAACAAACAAGCAAATAAATAAATAAATAAATACATTTTAATTTAAAAAAAAAGCAAGAAATACCAGTTTCCCAAGGCCTGGGGAGACATCTTCAAATGCCTCGTTTTGTCTGACAATCAATTCACGAGAAAGTTTATCATCACACAAAACAATATTTGTTGATTTTTTTGCTTGAGAAAACTACCAGTTATTAAAATAGTCAACTAATTTTCTCTACGATGAATCCAGTGCATCATGTGCACTGCTCTACCCAGTGGCATTACTCTGCTTCAGTTTCACTGTCTCAGTCATCTGCATTTCACAGCAGAGCCAAGAGAAACTCCACAGATCAGTCACTTCCTTTCAGAAATGATTAACTGATCACACAGGGGGCATTCAATCACTACATTTACATGCACACAGGAAACTGGGTTAGTGGGAGAGTGCAGGTTAAGGCAGGAAGTCGAAGGACACGTGTACATGCACCGCATCAGCCTCAATAATTTAAGTGTTGCATTTACATGCAGCTGGTCAGTAAACAGGTTTCTCCTCTCTCATCTATCACATTTTTGAGCTGTTGTTCATGTATTTTCAGTGTATTTGCAAGACAAAGATGCACTCTGGTTGGACTTTGGATTGAATTCTCTTGGATACAAGGCTGCACTGCTATGAGTAATAATCATTTCTTTCATCCCACCTCACTACAGTCGCTACAATACTATTTGGAAAACAGATTTCAGTCTTAAAGAGGAAAACATGCTGCTGTGGGTTAGGAGAAAACCTGAACAAATCCAAGTCTGCTTAGTCCAAAGAACATCTGACCATTTTTCAATTAATCATGGAAATCTCTGTGCAGCCAATCAATACAGACTGTTCTGCCTTCACTCACCAGTATGTCACCTTTGCATTCGTAGAGACAGTGGTGGGCTAACTCCTGGTTGGTGCCTCCTCCACACAAAACACTGGAGCAGGCCAGGTGCATGAAGTCTTCCACTGAAAAAGATAGCAACAGCAATAGTTTTTGACAGGGAAAATCCACACTTGATTATTTTACAGTGGTGACGATATTTTCATTTGTAAGGGAGAGAATGAACATCAAAAATTAGAGGATAAATGGTTGATATTCAACAGTGTGTAGTTTTAGTTTTTATTATAGTGGGTCAACAAAACTTCCCTACAGAGACAATTAACTATATTTAACCATATCATGCTGCAACATATACAGTGGTATCTGTAACGAAAAACATAAACTACATAATACACCAACACGTACTTTCTTAATTTCATGTGATGTAAAACTTACAAAAGACCGTATGATGTAGTTTTCTCACCTTTTTGCTGGAAGTCCGGTTTTTCCTCCAGCTCATCCAATGGAGCCCAGACCAGGTCCGCTTGATGGTGATCCAGCTCAACAGCTGACCGCTGCCTCAGCTCTGGCACTTCGGCCTGGTACCCCGACCCAATATTTATTCGTCTGGGAACAGGACATCAAACACTCAATCTGATCTAAACTCATCAAGTGCTTTTGCTATTGTGAGGTGTTTTTTCACTCTTAAATAGACCTAGACCTTACTTTGTAAAGTCTCCTGAGATGACTTTTGTTTGATTTGAAATATTCCAGTCAAGCCACCATACTTTCTGAGATCATATTTAGATTTCCCAGTTTCTCTTTCTGCCATGATCTTTAAATAGTCAGGGGGAAATTTTTGAGGCTCCAGGCTGTGAGCACTGAAATTCTTGTACTTGTGCTCTCAGCATAATAACATGCAAATGCTTTCATGATTTGTATGTTAGACTGAATGCACCTCTTCAATTGACTGAACCCGAAATTAAATGGGTCCTCATGTTGGAGTGGGACAAAGGTCGTGGTCAAGCAGGAAGAACGTCTCCTAATCCAGCCAGTGCATGCAAATCCTGAAAGGGCTGATTGCAGATACCACAGCGCTGTGTTACATTAACAGACTATCCTGTTTAAGCATGCCCCCTCCCTCCCCTGCATTTCTAGTGGGTCTGCAGTATTTCCAGCCGAGTGTGTGTATTCTGGCAGCCTCCCCCAGGGAAGGTGGGCTGCTAAGTGTTGAACTGCCATGGCTCTTGTGTGTTTGGGAGTACACCAGACCCAGCTGAAAGCATGATTTATTGGCAGCCTCACTGGCTCATCCTTGACTAACTGCTGAGCAGCTGGCACCAGTCAGACAACAGCTTGCACAATGCATCCCCATAAACTGCACTTCACTGTCATTGCAAAAACAAAAAAAGACAAACTTATCTCTGACTAATGATTTAAGGGTTAAACACCCAGTCGATGTCTTTGATTTTAAACATCCAAGCTATCAATGGCTGCGTTACCATTTATGGAGTAACAGAGTCACCATTGACCCCACCCCATGCCAGCCTGGTACATTTGAAGCATGGTGGAAAACTGGTGCAATAATCCTGCCTCGAACGGGTGGTGTAGTAAAGCCTATAGTGCATTCGTCACCATAGTTTACACCGATTGCAATCTGATATTAAAACTGCACCTCCTAAACAAGACAACTGTCATTTTCAGTATGTTTTGATAGATAATTTTAAAAACTTTTGCTAAGGAGTAAACAAAGCTAGCCTGTTTGGCAGTATTTTTAAAAGGCTGTAAGGCTTTCATTTGGTAGTTAATATGGATAGGATGCACTTTTATTGTGATACATTAGGCTGTCAAGTTAGAGCAGAAGGTGAAAGCTGGCACTAATGCTGGCTGTGGATGACAGGGCAGAAGATTGCAGTGGTGACGACGGTGGAGTGGAAGGCCGCTTCAAAGGAAGCCTGTGCTCTCTATTAACACGATTCATGATTCAACTCAGTGTTATAGTTTGAATAACTGACTGCAGAACTACTACTCCATAATACATGCTCTGGAGTACCCATATAATTTCTCTGAAAATGACACACAACCCCTAAATCCACTGTTTCCACAAAAAAGTGAGATGATTTTGGGATGTGGAGAAGGAAATACTTACGGCTCGATGCTGACCGGAGTGGCCTCACTCATAGCAGACAGAACTGGTGGTGTGATGTCGCAGCTGTCTAAAGGAACAGTAATACAAAATCCACTCAGTGACGGTGTCTAAGAATTTTGCCGTAATCACAGGAGTTATATTTCGATATAGTAAAAAAAAAACTCTTCTCTATCATGTAGCTTAAAAACAAGAATATTTAATATGAGGTCATGAAGTAGGTCTTTATACTTTTGTTCATTAACTAACATGTCTGATATTAGATGATGTGGAATATTATTTCCAGATGCTTATTACAAGTGTCTGTGAATAATTCAGGGAGGTCTTATGAACTTATCTCAACTTTCCAACTTACTGGAACGCAACAGGCTGCGTGTGGCTGACTTTGGAGTGGCAGGAGGTGGGAGACCCTGGCTGCTGGCTGCAGCAGCGGCGGACAGGAAAGTGGAGAAGTAGAGGCCCGAGCCCTCACGAACAGGGCTGAGGATTGGTGGAGGCGTATAGGGGGGAATGGTGAGGGGATTGTCGGCAAGGCGTACAGGGGAGCGTAGGTGACTCTGGTAGGGTGTGATGCTGGAGTAGACAGGCGGGGCGATGAATAAACCAGGTCTAGGTGGTGGGATGAAGAGGGGCTCTGGCCGGGGGCGCCGTTTGGACTTTTTGCCGTCCTCATCTTTCTCCCCCTCAGCGCCACCATTCTGGTGAGGAAAAAATATTTTAGCAAGTAAATTTATGTCAAGTGTGTGCGTGCACTGTGATGCATCATTTCAACCCACAACAAAAAACACACATGCATAAACTGTTGGCATCTTGTAGGTTTATCCAGAAAAATCCTGAAGAACAAGGTGCCCCAGTCCTCAGCTGTATGGTACATAATGTACAAGGCCCAAACTAAACCCTGATAATCTGCCTTATCTGAGATCAGTTTACCAAATCTCCCCCCAAATGAAATCAGGAAAGGGAAAAAAGTGTGGATGAGTGAAATGGTGGAAGGGGAGACAAGGAGCATGGTGGGGGAAGGGAGAGAATCACGGTGAGGTGATGTGATACAAGTTCAAGGATTTAATAGCCGACTGTCAGAAAACAGAATGAAAAATACAGCGGCACGTCAACCTATTACACCCAATTCTCTGATTTCATTTCTCTGATTTCATTCTGACAGTTTATTAGGTCTGTAAGTGTATAAACAATTACCAGTTAAAGTAAAGAGTAACAGACTCTGCTGGCACGTAAAAAAATGAGAATACAAGCAGCAAGGAATGAGGATGTGCACACCTGATCGGAGCTCTCCGACAAGGAGTTCCTGAGCGAGCGTCTCCGGGTGACAATGACAGAGGGCTTGTGGTCTGTGCGGCCGATGTCCTGGGGGTTTGAATGCCTGGGAGACCAGGTGCAGGCCAGGGCATCTTCGTCTCTGTCAGGGGAGGAGGGCTCCTGCCTCCGTACTGGAACAGACACGGGGATGACAAGAGGAAGAAGGCTGTCGTCTTGAGGGCGCTTGGCGTTCAGACCGTCTGATTCGGTGGGACTCCACGGCCTGTGGGGCTCCTAACAAAGATGGTGGATGATGTGTGGGATCTGATTATAAAAGTATTTCTCCTTAATATAAAACAACAGGAGCAATTTTGTTAAGTTTGTTTTTGTATTAATTTAAGCTTTTTAAGTTATTGAAGTTATTCATGAATGAAAACTGAATACCTTTCGGTTTTGCTCTAAATATGCTGACATAATGGGCCCTTTTCACTATTTTTATAATATCTAACAGACCAAATAAGTGAGACTAATCCAAAATAAAACACCAGGGTTTGTTCACTACAGTAAAAGAGGTAAAACAAGCAAACAAACTCCAAACTAGGCTTGTGTAATAGTTAAAAGTTAGTTTCATCCTGTTGTTGGCTTGCTATGGAGTCCTCAGTGACCTGAAAGTGCAGCTCACATGATCATCATTCTGCAAGTGACACATTTTCAAATGCAACAATGAACAAATTCAACTGGTGTAGCTGATGCAGTGCACTACACAACAAGTGTAGAGAATGGAACACCCTAACAACTTTAAATGAATATAGCTTAGCTTTCCATGACAGGCACAGCACAATAAATCCTAAACCACAACTGGCTTGGGTGTCTGTTAATTCACCTGAGCAGCCTGTCAAACTATAATCAATACAGTAAATTAGGAACTTTGAAATCTTGTTATTCACCTCATTCAAAAACACAATATGTAATGAAAACAAAATCAACGGTCAAATGGAGACAGGCAGGTCAATGCAACGCTAAACAAGCCTGACATGTATTCCTACAGGACCTAAACACAGAAAATGAACCTGTGAAAAGCACTGCAAAATAAAACAAATGAGAAAAATTCAAAATATTACCATGTCTTAGCTTGATATCACTGTTAGGTGCAGACTGTACACGCTTGTCAAATCCTCAAAGCATTCTTCACATTTGTTTTTTTTTTTGAGAACCCATGATGAGTTGCATGAGCAGCCTGTGTGTTTTACAGCAACGATCAACTCTGGAGCAACTTCAAAGCCATCTAAACCACCACTTCGTAGACCAGCTGAAGACAAATGCACAGTGGCGCTGCACGCTGCACCTTCCATGGGCAGAGAGGCATGCAGCAGTGTGGCTATGCTGGATCTGGACTCATTATTGCTGGTGGAAAACTCCAGCCCTTGCGCCAAAGTGGTGGAGCGATATTCTGCTGAGCACTGCAGGCAGGACAATTCTGCACCCCTCTCTCTCTATATGCAGGGAGGGGGGAGGGCACTCGAGGCCAGGCTGGTTTCTCTCCTTTGATGACATGGGGGAGGTGTGCAGGCATGTAACCAAACACAGCCTGTATGATCAACTACCCGTGAGGCAAATCCAGTGCACAGCCATGCTGAACTACAGACATACTGACTCAGTGCTGTTTAGCAACAGGACTTGTTGCACAATGAAGACATTCAGCAGATAAACACAGATAATTGTAGGACTTCACATGGTGCAATTAAGGTCATTTCAGCAGCTTGTTTAAAACATTTTTGAGAGCTGAAAAGTCACACATGAAGCTGTCCATAAAGTATATATTTTCCCTGTGCTTGTTTAGCTACAGATCTATTAGAGCTGAGCAGCTCAGGCCTGTGGTGTACACTTCACTAGGCGCTGATTACACTCAGCATCTCTTCCAGATACATGCTAATCACAAACAACGCAAGCTCTGGCACAGTACCCCTGGCAGTTGCACGAGGCAGTTTGCTCTTGTTTGGGGAGTATCCTACTGCAATTACACCCTGGGATGACACTAGAAAAACTGAACTTTAGCTCTCACTGTGATATTCACAGTTATTTCCAGCTCTCAGCGGCGAGTTCGATATAAATTGCAAAGCTATGATCATTACAGAACATTCAGTCCTTTTCTATTTAAGGTTATTTCTGTGGTTATGTACAGAAAAGTAAAAAATAAATAAAAACTGAGAAAAAAGGAAAGACAAGGAAAAGAGTAAAAGAATGCAAGATAAAAAAACAAAACAAGAATGGTTGAACAACCTCCAAATGAAAATGAGTATTTACCTTGACAACATGTGATGGTAGAGACTCCATTTCTGAGGCCTTCTGAGCAAGGGTCTCCAAGTTGACTTCCTGGGATGCCCTGCGTTTCCTGCGTGTGCTCTGGATGACGCCTGTTGGGGCTGCCTGGATGTCACGGGCCCCGTTCTGGGAGCCCTGGGGCCCTGGGGCTGCCTGGCTCCAAGAGACAGAGAGAAAAGGGTTGTCGGATGGTGCCCCGCCTTCCTTGGAGAGCCGTCGGGATCTGCGAAGCTGTGTTTGGGACTGGAGCGGCGATTGAGACAGGGGCTCAGACTGAAGAGGCGGCTGCAATGGATCTGACTGCTGCTGGGGTTCTGGAGTGATGTCCTGGATGACTGGCTCCTGGATCTTTAGCGGAGCTGGAGCAGAGGACTCCTGGGAGTGTACCACCACGGGCTGTGGATGTGGGTGAGGGTGTGCATTTTGTGCACCTGGGTAATAGTCAAGCACATGAGAGTTTTGTTGCTGCAACTGCTGATGTTGTATTTGCTGCTGAATTTGGAGCTGTTGCTGCTGCATCTTTTGATGTTGCTGCTCATGCTGTAATTGTTGCTGCTGCTGCTGTAACTGCTGCTGAATTATTTGTTGTTGGTGTTGCTGCTGAATTTGATGTTGAATTATGTGATGTTGTTGTTGCTGGCGTTGCATTTGCTCTTGCTTCTGTAGTTGCTGTAACTGGTGTGGGGGTTTTGTCTGTGTTGCGTAGTTAGGTGGGTTAGGTAGGGTTGTTCTGTTGCCTTGGAAGGTCTGGTAGTATGGTGGCAGGTGCTGCTTTGGCTGACCAAAGGCCAACTGGAAAGGCTGCAAGACTGAGCTTCCTCCAGGGTGGGATGTATTGTGCTGCTGGCGGTTTAGTGCTCCAGGTTTTAAGGTCTCCTGGAAGGCCTGGGACTGCTGCTGCTGCTGCTGCTGCTGCTGCTCCCAGTCCAGGCCCCGAGCTTTAACTGCATCCCTGTATGCTTCAACTGCAGAGTTGGCCCCCAGAGGCAGCTTGTCTGGAGCTCTGTTAGGGGGCTGCTGATGTGGCTGTAAGCCAGAGGTCTCATGCATGGACTTAATGAATGCATTATGGGTCCTTGAGTCTGTTACATTAACTCCTCCAATGTAATTAGCAAAGTTTTGTCCCCAGTTAGACACAGTGGTCCAAGAAGCAGCTCTCTGCTGCTGGGACAGTGATGGCTGCTGCTGACTGGACTCCTGAGGGGCCCACTTCATAGGAACAGTCTGCTGATAATGACCCCTGCTCTGATCACCCTTATCTGGGCTGAAGATGACAGAGTTGAGGTACATGTGAGGGCCCTCTGGATTTGAGGTCACAGTACTGGCAGCCTCACTCTGTCCAGGGTCAGAGGCAGTGCCACCTGGGACGTAATATGACCCTTCGGGGTGCTGAGAGGACTCCTTCATTGCTACACTTTGATCGTTGAAAAACGTGATGCGTTTGCCTGTTCTTTTAGTGCTGGCTTTCTGCTGGGTTGGTACGCTCATGACAAGCATGAATGAGCCAAGCCAGGTGAATATGTGCAACCAAACCAACTATTTATGCTCCAACTGGATGAGCCTGAATATACCAATCCAAAAATCAAAGGGGATCCACAAAAAAATAAAGCTGTAAAACTACACTGACATCAGTGGGAGCAGGAGCCAGGTCCAACAAGATAATCTTCTTTTCACCTCTGAAGTTCTTTGGAACCCACTCAGTGGTGGCCAACGTGGGATAAGCAGATCTGAAGAAGTCTGTGGTTTTCTCATTCATGGGCAACATCCTGCATGAAGAAAATGACAGGGAGGTCAAGCATGGAACCATCAGCCTAAAGGGGTCACTGCAGGGGCTCTCATTATCATCCCCGCCTCAGCCATGTAACAAACTGCTGTTTGCTTTATCAACAATAGACCTCCACTGAAAGGTATCGGGTATGAGACTAGAGGGGGAGGGCAGGCCTGAACTGTGTCATTATTTGCTAGGCTCACATGACACGCATAAGGTGGAGCATGCAGGTGAAAACATATACTATTCCTTAGGAAAGCAGTTCCATCCATCCACCCATCCATTTTCCTCCGCTTATCCAGGACCGGGTCGCTGGGGCAGCAGTCTAAGCAAAGATGCCCAAACCTCCCTCTCTCCAGACACTTCCTCCAGCTCCTCCGGGGGAATGCCAAGACGTTCCCAGGCCAGCCGAGAGACATAGTACCTCCAGCGTGTCCTGGGTCTTCCCCGGGGCCTCCTTCCGGTGGGACATGCCTGGAACACCTCCCTAGAAGGGCGCCCAGGAGGCATCCGAAACAGATGCTGTTAGGGTGATTTTCATTTTTAGATAGAAATGAATATAATTAGTTAGGGTTTTTATTATATAGCTTACATAAGTTTATATATTTTAATCTCACAGTTGTGTTTATGTTTATTTAGTTACATATCTATTTATCACCCTATATGTTTACTGAATCACTGGTCAGTATTTACTGTGTTAGCCAACTGGAGTACTGTTTAAAATCAAGGAGACTGGTTCACAAAAACACTAAAATTTATTAGATTTACAGCCTAGCAAAGAGGGTCCACAGTTACTTTATTACCACCACTTGGCTAATAGGTCGGGGGAGCTATAGTTTAGTGGAATTTTTAGGATAGTTGGAACAGAGATTAGATCTAAGCCAGAAAGAGGAAGCAACTTCAAAGGCAGGGCAATATACAGACACACACAGGCAAGACAGTTTAATTAGTCAAACGGGAAGCCATGTCACATATAGTGTAACAAAGAAAGAAGTGAGTGCAGGAATGCAGTTGAGATAGCTTAATCAATAGTTCCTAGAAATGTCATTGCATTACATATTACTGCACCATGTTTAATGATCTAAGACTAAAGCACAAACACACACAGAAAAAAAAAGCTCATCATTAAGGTTCACTTGCAACTTTACCACCTTTCTCAAAGCTCAAATAGCCTGTCTCAGAAAGTAATCTTTCCCGCCAAACTACAGACAGCAAGTTGAACGTGACAGAAACCACTCTTTTACAACTGTGTGACTAAGAGGTGGAAAATGGAGTCCATGCCCCCTGAACTGTGGCTGCAGACTCAGAAAGGAAGGGCAACTGAAAGTGAGCAAGCATGAGTCACGATGAACCAATCTTTTCAAGGGAAACATCAAAATGGCCTTGCAGGCTTTGATAGCTTGCAGGAGAACTTGACAATTGCCATGGTAACCTGCTATGATTATCAAAAATACTATCTGGTGGCCAGGTTTTGGAGCAGATTTTGACAGTGCAGTCTGCCAAATTTCAAGATGCACGCAGATCCTGACTGTTTCTGCTAAAATTGCAGTTCTTGCTCCATCTGTATAAAATAAACCACTGACACTCTTGTGCAGCAGTCAAAAATCCAAAGAGAAACCCACTAGGACTTCATATTTGCTGCCAGAATCACATAAAGTGCTCACCTGCAGCAGGACAATACAATCTGTCAAGACGACTACATAAATGATTACTGGGAACTCTACAAGATGAACTTGACAAAGGCTATTTCTGACAATCTAGGAAATGAGCAACAATTGTCACCTTTTACCCCGGTGCCCTAGTACAACACACTTTTCTTAAAATAGACATTCGCAGCTGTTCAGATCCTGCACTGGCTCATGGGCACCAAAGACTAAGGAAACTGAATGACCAGTAGTGATTCTAACGAACTACGCGTGTGCACCAGGAATGTCATGTGATGTTAAACATGCCTCTAGCCATGCTGTCAAAACCCATGAATGTGCATGTAAATGTACACCACATTTCCCCTGCAGCTGCGTGACCCTGCTTTGGAGCAAAAACAACTGCTGATTGCAGAGCGACCATGCTGGGTGAGCACTCTGCACTACCCAGGCGCACACTCCATGAGGCGAGGGATCATCGTGACGCATCACGATGTGCAACCTTACACAAGCACTGGGTTTAGCCCAATAAACAAACTAACATGGCAAACTGGCTTAAAATAAACGTCAAGCACCACTGGCCGTCTGAATCCGTCGCTGTTTCCTAATTTAAACCAGGAGACATATGCGGCCTGCGACAAAAATAGAAAATATGAGAAAAACATGCCGAGCACTTCCACTACAGGACTCTTCCTTGGCACCCCACCACCCCTGTCCACACCACTTTCTGTGGCCAGTCAACTCAATACGATTTTCGAGAAGCCCTTTGTTGCATAAAAAGGATTATCCGGTCACTAATGCCATGTCCCTCTGCAACAGCCCGAGCCAACAATGAAGTGTGGTCACAGAGCTAACCAACAGACACAAATGGGTCGATTCAACTTGTCAACAAGGCTAATACGTCACCCATCTTTCTGTGCACTCTCGGTGCAGTCATCCCGCTCTGAGACATTAAAACACACCCTACCTACCTACAGACGTGCGATGTGCGTCCAGTCCGTCTCCGAGAGGTAAACAAAACTTTGTCAGTAAGCTGTGGCCACACCAACATGCACTGTCGATCACAACAACAACGCCACAGTCATCTAGACCGCGGCTCCAGCCCCGTCTGCCGCGATACTTACTGTGTTTGTCATGAAAGCTGCTACAAGCGGCAGCTCTGCCCGCAGGATTGCACACTCGCAGCTCTGTGCGTCCAGCAGCGGCAGAAGGCCCGCACAATACAGACGTCCGATGATGACTGCATACATCCCAGAGACTGACTCATGCTACACTGCTGACCTCACACACTGTTAGCCTACTTCTCTCCCCTTCACCCCCCGCAACAGTCAAGAGAAAAAGGAGGTCGATGTCGGTGCATAAACAGAGTCCTTCCCGGTCGGAAACGAGGCGCTAGTCTGCAGAAACACGAGCGCAATGCCACCGCCGTCTGTTGCACATTATTGCACAAGGATTGCACACAAAACACTCACGCTTGTAAAGAGGCCGTTCGCTGTAAATCCAGACTCTCAGTGCCTCTGCTTGTCTTGTGATACCGCCCTCTACCACCAACTCCCTGGCCACACCCACTTCCATGCCCATAAAAGGCTTTCCTCTGACACGCAAGGCGCTGTAATTTACTGAGCAAGATCCCCTCTCAGTCCATGCGGGAAATTCCAACACACATGGGTGGACCGTGGGGACGAAAGGGAAAGGCGCAACCGGCTACACACTCACTTTTACATTTGCTTTCCCTTAAGAATCAGTCTTTCTTTTGCACTGTGAAATACTTCACAATTGTAGCCACATGACACAGCAAGAAGGGCCTGGAATCTGAAGAAAGGCCCCATACATTTATGTTGAGACAGTTAGAGGAAGCAGTTGAGTATTTTTACTTAATCAACGATATAATGATCTGTGGCTGCAACAAACAATTGTCTTCGTTATCAGTTAATCAGCCAATTATTTTCTGTTTATCAATGAATTTGCCAAATGCAGGTGCTCTAAAAGCTTACTGAGGCACCCAATAAAACAAACAATGTTATTAACTACACGTGCTTTTACAGCTATGACAAGTGAAAATGCCTATTTCAGGATAAAATCAATAGTTTAGACTTTGTTGAGAGTTGCCATTGAAGACGGCAATTTGCTATTAAAAACAGTGTCAGTTATTCAGTGTCTACACGTGTTCACATGAGTTTCAGGATGAAATAATACCCAGTGAATGTTTAACCTGCCCCAGATGTTGCAAGGCAATCTGTGGCCCACTCAGTGATGTAATGTCAAACAAATAAAATGACAGCTCGAGTGACCCTGATCATCATGAACAACCATCTGTATAAAACAGTCCTGACACAATTATCATAAGTCAACAAAATGAAAGGTAATATATTTTGATCATTTAGTCTAGAAGTCAATTAGCTGATGAATCAGCAACTACAGTACATGCAGGTGTCCTTCAGTAGAAAGACAAGACACTGGAAACACACAATACAATTAATTCCATTTGGCTGTAGTGTCAGGGTCCTGGTATTGTGCCTGCTGGCTGGCTGGCTCCCTTTAATAGGCCTCTTGAATAGAACCCATAGTTACAGTGCATTTCCTACTATAACAAGTCAAAATGTTAGTCTCTGTGGAAAAAAGGCTTTTATAATGGGAAGGCTATACTGCCTGCTTCTCCAAGCCTCTCCCTTTGTCTCTCTGGCTCTTAAAATAATGTGGAAAGACTGAAAACATTCACAGATGCAGTTGAGAACAAGTCGAGTCAGAGTGACACGACTACCTCCAGTGACTGTCACTGCACTGGTGTGGGTGGGTCTTATGTTTGTGTAAAACAGCCTGTCTGGAGTCAACAGTAGTGCTAAAATGATTAGTTGTTTTACTGCTTTGACAATTAACAGAAAATGAATGGGCGACTAATTAAGTAATTATTCATTTAGTGAACTGTTAAGCAAAAATGCGAAAAATATTATGGTTTCAGCTTCTTAAACATGATTTATGTACTGTACAGAATTTATAGGTACAACCCTAACATTCTGTATTGTTACAAAACCTAATAATATGTTGTAAAATTCAGTGCAATACTTTTTTAGATAATCTTAAAAGCAGTCATTATTGAAAGATTTTTTTTAGAAAGCACATTCCTATATTCTGCAAGTACAATAATAATTCATCTGCTATATAAAATTCACTATTTAACATTGAGCTATAGGTGTCATATTGTGGCGGAAGAAAGACTCAGATCCTTTGCTAAAGTAAAAATGGCAATAACAAAATTTAAAAATACAATCCCTTCCTTGAACATAAAGCAAAGTTGGTGGTAACTTTATTTACTACTTAATAATACATAGTACTTATAGCCTACTGATATGGTTTTTAACATCATCACTTGCAAAGTAGCTGCAGCTGTCAGATAAATATAGTGAAGTAAAAAGTATATTTCCGTTACGTAGCTTCAACCACTGGTCATACACTCTGAAATGCAAACTGGGTGTTTTCCCTCTAGGACTTTGTGTGACATTTCGTGGGGTTGTGCGACGTGACGGGGCTGATCGTGTCAGATAAAGCTATGCGTTTACATTCACCACGGCTATTTGCAGCTATATTGTCAGAAACAACACATTTACATTATGGTGCACTAAACCATCGACTCGCTAAGGATGACAACCACCATAAAATTCCAGAGGAGACGAAGAAGAAGAAGAAGAAGAAGAAGAAGAAGCAGAAGCAGAACCAGAACCATCGATGCCCCATTAACGAAATACCTAGCATGACTTGGCATGCATAAGCGAATATCCTTGCAGTACTTACATTAAACTCTTTCTCCGTGACACACAAAGACGTAATTTCCCCGTTTTATCCGATGGTGGCCATCCACAGCCAAAGTTTACTGTGAGCTAGTGTTAACCCAGCAATGAAACCCAAGAAACTTTTTATTTTTTTCAAATTCCCCCACGGCGCGTCACTTCCCACTTTGAAACACTTTTAGCTAGCAAGAATGTATATTGCAACTTTTCTATTGGACCTACCCGCGTTTATAATCTCTGATGAGAACCGGAACGACTGCATTGGCAACGTCCATTGTAATGACACATGCTATTAAATTAACTGCGGGATAAGTTCAACAGCTGCAGTGTTGATGAACTGGTGTAATAAAATATGTTGTTAAGGACGCGTACCGCTTCTGGGCTCCTGTAGTTGCCTTAACGGTTCAACAGCACATAGGAAAAGACCACCTATGACTGGGAAGATAGTACACATCTGCTACCCCGGAACATTGGGGAAATTATGTCGCACTCTTGTATAACTAACCACCTCGTATTCGCATTTAGACAAAAAGTGGACATCACATGGAACTCCCATTATCTATTTCATTACATATGTTTTAAAATAGATATGGAATAAAATGTGACCCGTTTCTGAACTCTCATAAAAATATCTCGGGAATTTAGGCGAAGCCGGAAGCTGCTAGCACGGAAGTGTCTTGATTTGCACAAACTAAGACGTTAACGGCTTTGAGTCTATGGAATGATTCCATGGTCTGCGGGCTTTAACTTATGCCATATCACAAGGAGAGAATACCGGTTCGCTAGTGTAAACACGCTATTTGGAGCATAATTTTGAAGTAGTTGACTAGTTTAGTTACACCCTTTTAACAACGCGACTCTCTTGTGTATAAAGCCTGACTTTTGTTGCCAGGTCTGGTTAGCACAACAAGCACTTCTTCAAGGTTACTTTTCGATAATGCAGGTGCAGAAAGTCGTTCTCAACTCACGACCAGGTAGGCAACTTAAAAATATATATATATATATATATATTCATATCAGGAGTTAAATTTTTTTTTTGTATCCTGCGTTGCAACATGCTACTCTTGTGCGGCTAATGTTTACTCAAAATACTCATTTAAAGGTAAAAACGGGACGCCAATTCCTGAAAATTTCCGTGCGGAGGAGACGATTTTAGCACCTGACCTGGAGGATGGGGAGGTGCTAGTTCGGACGCTTTACCTCTCAGTTGACCCTTACATGGTATTGATACAATTCGTGTGTGTGTGTGTGTGTGTGTGTCCGAATGTTTGGTATAAATAAATGTTACAAAACAAAACGTTTCCGTTCATATTATACATTTAACATCAAAGTTTTAGTTCAGTAAGGAAACAAGGACTCAAGCTTCTTGTCACCTGTGTTATCTATAGCAAGGGTAACATTACATAACATTCATTTTACAGAGGTTTTTGTCCAAAACAACTTCCAATAAGTGCATTTAAATGATGTAAGCATAAGCTAGATATTCAACAACTGAGAGCACATCCCATTTAAACAACAAAGAAATGTTCTGTGCCTCATACAATGCAAATGCTTAGAGAGTTTTTGAAATGTCAAGCCAAAGACTTGAGCAAAAATCCACCCCTATCTCCACCTGTGTTATATTTCTGTCTTTGCTACACAGCGATGCAGAATGAATGAAGCCACAGATTCTGATTACTTGACTCCATGGCAGCTGGATGTGTGTGTGGATGGTGGAGGTGTCGGTGTGGTCGAGCCCAGCCGCTGCAGCACTTGCACTGAGGGCGATGTGGTCACCTCAGTCACCTGGCCTTGGCAGACCCATACTATTATGAAAGGAAGTGGCTTACAAAAGGTGTGGCATTAGGTTATTACTTCATCTTCCAGAGAGGAGAATGACTGTGATTTGTGTCCAAGCAAAATAAATAAATAAATAAATAAATAATACACTGACAGCATCCCACATGTGACAGGAAAGCCATGTTGTATAAGATGTGACTATAACCTTCTGTCTATTGCAGGTTGATCCACAGTTGGCTGATGGGCATTTGTCCTACTTTTTGGGTGCAATTGGCTTAACAGGCCTTACTGCTCTGCTGGGTATAAGGGAGAAAGGTCATGTGATCAAAGGGGCCAATCAGACCATGGTGGTGAGTGCTGCAGCTGGGGCCTGTGGCTCCATAGCTGGACAGGTAAATACAGCAAACTCCAGATTTATGTGCAATAAGGCTTTGATGTGTACATATAGCTAAAGCTATCTGAGACATTGGCAAAATGCTCTCAGAGAACATTTATTAAAATTGTAGGGTTTCTTCATGTTTATACTTTCATATTCTGGGTTTCAGTTATGTTTTATTTTATGAAAATACAACTAAGTAACTGGAATGAATTAAAATATTTGTGATCTTTTAATGTATTTAAATTAAAGAAAGATTAAGACTGGAATGGTTGGTGGGAACTGTGTATTTCAGAAACCATACTCAGGTTAGGAGATCTAATCTAGCTAACCACAGACAGCGACATAAACACTGATGAGATTGCAGAGAAAAAAGATGTTAGGCTGTGACTATATCATTTTTGCTCTGTTTTCCTTTTCCAGATTGGCAAGCTAGATGGTTGTGTGAAGGTTGTTGGGATCTGTGGTTCTGAAGAGAAGTGCAGAGTTGTAGTGGAAGATCTGGGCTTCTCTGCTGCAATCAACTATCGCACAGAGGATGTCCCGAAAAGGCTCAAGGAGTGTTGCCCTGATGGAATAGATGTTTACTTTGATAACGTTGGTGGTGCCATCAGTGATGCCGTAATAGCACAGGTATTGCTTGGGTTGTGTCTGTGTTTGCAAAGTATAAACTAGGTAATGTTTTTCCTTTGTATGTTGTTTATTTGACTGGAAAAATGTGAATTCTGTTGTGTCAGTTGGATTTTCTTTCCCTGATTATACATTCTGAAGTGTTTTGTGTCTTATAATCTCAGTCTGATTTGCTTCTTTATTTACTTTCAGATGAACAATGGCAGCCACGTGATTCTGTGTGGGCAGATCTCTCAGTACAACAAGGATGTGCCATATCCTCCACCTTTAAGCAAGGAAATACAAGAAGCCATACAAAGAAAGAACATCACCCGAGAGAGATTTATAGTGCTTAATTACATGAGCAAAGCAGATGCTGCCCTCTGTGAGCTCAGCCACTATGTTAAATCAGGCCAAATCAAGGTAAGGAAGTAATGGTAATACTGTAATATATGGCTGACTGTGAGTATCCTTGTTTGTTTTGCATGGTGCTTGTCTCCTCCCCCGTCTGTCTCTTGCATAATTATTTTGCAAGTTTTCTTCTATTTTGCAGGTGCTGGAAACTGTGGTGAATGGAATAGAAAATATGGGAGGTATGTGGGTTTTAATCTTCATACTTTCCTGATTGTATGATTCATTTCTTTGACTTGGCACAACTTGAATCATTTATTCATTTTCTTTCAGATGCATTTTGTTCTATGATGAAAGGGGGAAACACTGGCAAGCAAATCATAAAGATATCAGAGTGTAGAAAATCACCATAGTATCCGGTAGACACTGCTCTCACCAGACGCCGTGGGAAATTAACCTACAGATGCTTCTGCCAGTAACTTAATGAACTCTCTTAAGATATTGCAATACAACTGGATCCGCAATAGAAAAAATTACAACTTGGGGGTTCAGTGTCTATAACCATCGGGGGCAACTTGGGGGTTCAGTGTCTTGCCCAAGGACACTTCCAACATGTGGACTGCAGACACTGAGATAAATCTTTTAACACTTCATCTTAGCTAACATACTTTTAATTTGATAGTCATAATTTTTAAATCACTGATATTTTTAACTGTCAGTTATGGGGCTCCATATTCTTGTTCACATTATTTAGAAATGACATGAAGTCAAACACAAAATACTGTATGATTTATTGTAATGAACATTTTTATTTCACAGCACTATAAACCATTAATAAAATAAAATGGTGATTGGCTCTGAGATTAGCTGTCACAAGAAAAATATGTGGCAGGTTTCTCCTCATTTATCTATTTTAGTGAACATAGGCAAGGATGCAGATGTGGACACCAGTGCAGTGTGGAGTCTATGTCTGGCTTTTTTGTGTGAAGTCAAATCAGTGTACAGTACAGACGAATCACAGACAGATTTATAGTTAACCATAATCAGCAGCATCAGTGTCAGTAAACCATCTAACTGGTCTCAAAGAAAAAAAAGCATCCCTGGCATAATTTGTTGGTGGCACAGCCTATCGTTATGCTCCAAAACCATCCAATACTGCCTCCTGGTGGACAAACTACATAGCTTGTGGGAGGCACTGAACTTCACTAGAGAGGAACTCTCCAAAAATAAGTCCACAAATTCTAAACATCAGTCTTTATGCTGGAATTATACACTTGGTAGTGCTCCTGTATAAATGAAAAAGACTTGTCTATGCAGAGAGAAAAATAAGTTAGTAAAGCCAACACTGGGTATAGTTTGAAGAGAATACCAGAAAGAGAAACCAAAAGATAAATATGAGGCTCTTACTCTGTACTTCTATTAAAAGACCTGATACATCTGGTCTTCATCCTATTTACATGCTTTCTTAGTTTAGTTTGTTCTTGTGGAATCCAGGCACCTGCTACAACTGACTAGATAGGACTGAATTAGAGTGCTAAAGATGTAGTTGACTGCTCTCACACCAGTACAGAAAAGGAATGAACATTGTGAACAAAGCCAGGGAGTGCTCTAATATCTTTCTTACTGCACTCACCCTGAGGCACATGAAAAATCACAAATTCCAGGGTGATTATAACATGAGGGAAAAATCAAAAATGACACAATACAATCAGAATAAATAAATAAAAACAGCATAGTACTGATTCATCTTATCTCACCACATCTATAAGACATTCATTTTGTTTTTAGCCACCATACTTCTGCATTGTTTAACTTGGTTTTTAGTTCACTGAGCTACTATGGATTATAAAAACATTGTCCTGAAATACTACTGGGACCAGCCTATTGTTCAAGTGCTCACATTCCTGAGAAACAAACAGCTTCTTTCTGTCGTCACGTCTGAAGGAGCGTGAAGTTTCAGGCCGGCCTCTCTCTGTATCTGTGAAAACCGCTGAAGTATTTGATATGAATATCGAGATGGTTTTAGTGGTAGTTTGTGTAATGTAAATATTGATTTAAAAACACATTCAATCATTAACTACATGTACACAGATCAACTTCAGTACTTGTTTGATTTGTCATTTCCGTCCTTGGATTTCCTGTAATTATGATCGTCTCTGCATCATTGTCACCAAAGTCACTACAACCAGCACGCCCTGCGAGCTATGGGAAGTTAGGAAAGGTTACAGTGTGCAAAATGACACTTTGATATCCACAATTTGTGTGTAAGAAGGTAAACAGGAGAATCCGTTTGGCACCTTTAGCCTTCATTAGTGAATCACAATGGTTTTTAGAGGAAAGAATAAAACTGTTCCTCCAGGATTTTGCAGGGGCTTTTTGAGACTGTTGCAGCCCAAAACACCCTATTGTTTGCATTTTTTTTTGTTGGTATAATTAATTAAAAATAGAGTTATGGAAACCTCGCTGCTGTGAATGTCTTAAGTAAATTATTTTCAAATAGCCATTCTCTCTCCTCTGCCTCATGCAGTGATGTCTCTCACATACACATGCTCCCTACAGGTGTGTTATGTGATAGAGAATTGTCAATCCATGACTTCTTTTGTTTTCCACCCCAACTTTGCACACGGTACAAAACAGTTAACCCCCACCCCAACACACAGACGCTCTCATGCAGAACATCAGCTAACTGCCTTGCTCATTCTTCATTTTTAATATTGTGATAAATATCGTATTGTCAACTTTTTACCGTGGCAATATTGTACCATGATGTTTTGGTATCGTTACATCCCTAGTAATAATCGTTGGAAAACATGAGACATATGGCTCAAAGTTTTAAACAGGAGATTGCTGCTGTGATTGCTGAGACTCGCAGGAAACTACGATGATTGGTCAAATCTATGCAAAAGTTGCAGTGATTGGACAAAATTGCATGGTCACACTGAACTCACAGGGAATAGTTAAACTTGCATTAAATGTTGCAATTCCAACTTTGCAAAATCCTGGAGGGACTGATGAATGGTGAAATCTTTCTTATTCATCCTTTGGCAGTGGTGAAGTGGCATTTGGCCAAAGCAACACTTTCAAAAAATGCTAAAGCTCAAGTAAATGAGTCAGCTTACACCACAAGAGATTACAGCTCGTATATGGTATACTGTCAACTGCAGAATACATTGGACTAGTCCTCACATAGCTCAAATAGGCTATTTAACCCATAAGGTATCAAAGATGTTTAGCTTTTTTTTTTCTTTTTTTCCTCACTATACATATTGCTATGAATATGGCAAGAAATGTGCTCACCTGTGCATTACAACAATATGTATATTAAGTAAACAATAGTACCTAGAAAGAGGATAGTGAATGAAGTACTGTGAAATGGCTTTGGAAAAAGGAAGAGGCTGCTGTGTGGGCAAAATTGAGGCTTTCAGGGTGGAATCAGACAGCAAAATATATCTGTGAGTCAAGCTCAGGGGAAATTATGGTGGTACAGTGCAATTACTGTCAGGAGGGAGAGATGCTCCTGCTGTTGTCACGAATGAAAGGGGTGGGGCCTGTCCAGGCACGATAGGCCAATAGCAGACTGAGCCCTAACGCCCACGTGCGGACAGGAGACAGGAAAAAGGCCATGGGGCCATAGGTCTGCAGGAGAAAGTAGCAGGAGTGGACCTGCCAAATGAGCAACAGCAGCATGAAGAGGTGAAGCACCAGAGTCTGCCAGCGGCAGCCCGGCCGCAGGAAGTGGGATCGGAATGTGTTGCCGCGGTAACGGTGGTGGAGGCTCCAGCAGAGGTAAAAGGTGAGGGGCATGTTGAAGAACAGCAGCTGGGAATTAGTTCAGTTACATGTGATTAGTGCAGTTCTGAAGCCCTCAGAATAGATGCAGATGCTTTCACCAGAAAATAACAATACAGCAAGGCAATGACAGAAAATGCACATTTAGTTGAAAGGGTTGTAGAACATGTTAAGTCCAAGTCCAAATTAATGAACCGAAGTACAAGACAGTGGTTTCCAACCGGTTTGGCTTGTGAGCCAATAGCTTTTTCTGCCAATTAATCACTTATCAAAAAAGTTGCTCATTTTCTGTCAGTTGCCTAAGCAGTTTAGGTCTGAGGTAGATGTTAAATTAAAGTCATTTTCTTACTTGAAAAACTCCAACAGCATAAGAGAGACTGCCCTCCAGGAAGTGTCCATTGATGAACAGTCCAAAGACAAAGCAGGCACCCTTGTGGCCATCTATCAATTCTCCTATGAACCACGGACCTGTAGGGAGAGATGGGGAAACACCACAGGATATTATGATCACGGATGAGTTTTGTTATACAAGAACATACACAGAATTGCAAGGGCTTCTTGTGAAGCGAACCAGCAGTTTTACATTATTGTATGGATGCTGATTCAGCATCCATACAATAATTTCAGCTATCAAAATGTTCAGCTCTTCAAGGACATTCATACTACTATTCAGAAGTTTTCGAAACTTCATACATTTTAAATATTTAGCTTTATTTTGAAAATCTTGCCCCATTCAAATTTCAAATGAATAGGAAAATTCTATTTCATCTAATAAAATGTTCAGCTCTTCAAGGACATTCATGCTTTTATTCAGAACTTTTGTAAATGTCATACTTTTGAAATATTTAGCTTTATTTTTTGAAAGTTTTGCCCCTTTCAAGTGAATAGGGAAATTCCAACTTCAGCATACTTTCAGCTAGCAAAAGCATTCAGGTGTCAAAATGTTCAGCATTTTCAGGGCGATCTTTCAGCACTCAGCATCCATACGCATTTTCTTCAGAAAATGCAATTTTCTAGTTTAGTTTGTTTTACTCGTGCTGCCAAATGTAACAAACACAATTATATTACCTAGTAGATCAGAGTCTTTCATTCACAAATCTTTTGCAAATGTATCTTAGATGTAGAGACATGTTTAGCCCAAGGTATAAACTAAACAACGCATTTGACCCACCTATGGCTGTACACAGGTTGAACAGCAGCAGAGAGTAGTAGAAGGTGTCTATTTTACTGACAAGATGGAGTGACATACATGCTTGAGAGAACAATCCTGTATATGACAAAGACAAAGCAAAAATGTATCAATATATACAATGTATATAAGTGTAATTGCACTTCAGTTACATGTAATTAAAATGACATTACGATTATGCGTTTCACTTCTGCCAGAAGGAACACGAAGGAGCCTGAAGGCCACCAGCACACCAACGTTCAGCAGTATCATCAATATGAAGGCCAGTCGGGCCAGGATGTAATGGTCAGTGAGGAGGATGAAGGACTGTACGAAACCAAAGCTCGGCGTCAGCTCATCCTCCAGCGTGAAGTGCTGCTCCCGAACCGTCGACCGGCCTGCTGAGTCCTGACTCACAGGTCACACACAAACAATAAGAAAGGAGCCATTTGTTAAGTCCATAAATATACACTGCTCACAAAAATTAAGGGAATACCTAACTCACACACTGGATCTTGGCAAACAAATTATTCAAGTTAAAATCCTTTACTAATGTACATAGTATAATTTGGTCAGAGCAAAATGAGATAACAGTGGTCAATGGAAACCAAATTCATCAACCCATGGAAGGCTGTATTCAAAATCACTCTGAAAATCTAAGTGAAAAATTGAAATCACAGGCTTTTCCAAGCTGTATGAATTCATAATGCAACTCAGAAATGTGTTTGGCCTCCGTGTGCCTGTATGCAATCCCGACAACATCCTGAGGGATCTACTCCCTGGATCAGGGCATCAGTGAGCTCCTGGACAGTCTGTGGTGGTGCTTGGTGCTGTGAGATGCACCAATACATAATGTCCCATAGGTGCTCAATTGGATTTAGGTCAGGGGAACGTGAGGGCCAGTCAATGGCATCAGTGCCATTGCCACCCAGGAACTGCCTACAGACTCTGGCCACATGAGGCCGGGCACTGTCATGCACCAGGAGAAACCTGGGCCCACTGCACCAGCATAAGGTCTGACAGTTGCTCTGAGGATTTAATCGCAGTACCTCACAGCAGTCAGGTTACCATTGGCTGTGATATGGAGGTCTGTGTAGGATATGCCTCCCCAGACCATCACTGACCCACCACCAAACCGATCATGTTTGATGATGTTACAGGTAGCATAACATTCGCCACAGCATCTCCAGACTTTTTCACCTGTCATGTTATCAGTGTGAACCTGCTCTCATCTGTGAAAAGAATGGGACGCCAGTGGCAGGCCTGCCAATTCTGATGTTCTCTGGCAAATGTCAGTTGAGCTGCACAGGGCTAGGCTGTGAGCACAGGTCGTACTAGAGGATGCCAGGCTCTCATGCCACCTTCATGGAGTCAGTTTCTGACCGTTTGTTCAGAAACATGCACACTAGTAGCTGCTGTGCTTTGTAGGGCTCTTGCAGTGGTCCTCCTTGTACAGAAGAGCAGATATTGGTCCTGCTACTGGATTGTTGCCCTTCTATGGCCCTGTCCAGCTCTCCTGGTCAGTCTCCCAGTATCTCCACCATGCTACTGAGACTGGATGTGATGGATGTTATACTGTGATGAGTGTAATTAAGTGTTCCCCTAATTAGTTTGAGCAGTGTAATTAGATGCTGTTTCAAAGTCACAGTGCCCAGACAGCAGATCTAACATAGCTACTGTTGAATCATAATTCAACTCAGGCAAACAAAACTATGAAAATGAATCAAGACCTATCAAATATTTAAAAGTCTCACAATACTCACTCTGAGAGGAAGATAAGTGAACACTGTACTGACCTCCACTTTAACTCTGATTGTGTGCAGACCAGTGAGATAGAGAGACCGATCCCATAGCAGAACATACAAAGGTCCTCCGGCATTGTGACCTTTCCCCAGAGGCTCCCCGTCTATGCTCACATGCACCGCTGTGATTGGAGCCTCTGAGAAGGCCAAGATCCTGTTGAGAACCAGGAAAAGAAATGTTTTCATACTGGAAATTTGATAAAGGAAATGCTGTCATGCAGTGTAAAACATTTTATGATGAGCATGCATATCTCCAAAAGGCCTCATAATGACTTAGATAAAAAATAAACATTTTTAAGAATATATGAATATCTATTTCGACCCACGTCTACATCATAATACACATAGTGACAGACAGTGGCGGGATACATGTGCAGCATTTTTATTGATGTAAGTGTACGAGTTCATAAGGAAATGTCAAAGATGTTTGAAAATGTTCCACTTCAAAATGTTTAAAAAAAATCTTTCTAAAATTTCCTGGACCTACACATGGATTCAAATCACCATCAATCCTAATAAAATCTTCCACTAAACACACACACAGAACAGACACCTGATGTGTGTCGATCTTCGTATCCGAGCCAGCGGCTCCACTCCTGGGTGAAGGTACTGCGCGTCCTTGGGGTTGGTGATGAGCACTGCAGGCCACTGCTCAAACCTCAGGTCAGAGAAACTCAGCAAGTCATGGTCAAAGGCCAGAACCCTGTACCTGGAAGAAGATGTGAGAAGATTGTACTGAAAAACCAATCTATTATAAGAGAAACAAATGACTAAAAACTAGACAGCACTCGGAGAGTGCAACCTCTGCCAAGGGGTAACTCCATTTCCCCATAATGCCATAAAACCAATATTCCCATGATAGTTTGACCCTCATAAAATGACTGCTTGACCAGGAAAGCCTACTGCTGGCATTTGGAATGATGCTGAGATCACGCTACAGCACGTGTTTATACAGTACAACCCTTTCCAGCTCATGAGATCCATAACACTGCAGCTTCTTCAGTCTGTTAAACACACGTTCCATTTACTTGTCATTAAGACACATGGCATTTTTACCTTATGGTCATCATGGCTTCATTCATGACATGAACAAGACAAGGGCATAGGGACCATCTACAAAGTACAACGGCGAGAAGTGATACTACAGAAATATTCACTCTTAGAGTAGCCTAGTGTCACCAAAATCACTTAATGGATTACTGGTCTCTTGTGGTTATACAACACTGAGATTGGAAAGAATGTGTCTAAGAGCGAAGCTACTGAATATTTCTGTGGTATCTCTCACAGCCATTTGGATGAAAATTAGCTTGTAGTTCATTGCCTGTCTGTATTAGTACAGTAAGGAGACGCTGTCTGTGCTTTAACAATGTCTCACGCATGATTTAATGGAGAACTGTTCCAACGCTTTCAGCTCCCAGACCAAGCTGTGTCCATCATGTTCTCTTTCCTCTTCATCATTGGACTCAGACTGCACTGATATTTCCTGCTGTCTCAAATATTTGAATACTAAAATTAAAAACCAATAAAACCAATCACCTACCCAAAGAACAAATACCCAAATAGTCGACTAATTGGGTCCAGCTCTAAAAACAATACAGAAATATTTTGTGATCATGTCATATAGCATACCTGCGGTTGTCCATCCAGTCGCCCAGCTCTAGCTCCAAGGTGCCTTGGGGATGTCGACTGTGGAGGACGGGCATTAGGCCGCCCAGTGTGTGCAGATGGCCACATAGATATGCAACAGCAAATCTAAACACAGTCAAATGTTAAAAATGATGTAATATATACATACATATATACATATACATATGTATACACATATAGATATATATACACACACACACACACATATATACATATATACACATATATATACATATATACACATACACACATATACATATATATACACATATACACACATATACACACATATACACACACACACACACATATAAATATATATAAATA